ACCGAATCCTCTTGTCCTTGCCTGGGAAATGGGAGGGACGCCTGTGCTCACAGGGCTGTGAGGAGGAGGATGTAGGAAAAGTTGTGATGGGAAAGCACTTTGTAAAGCAGGCAGCCTTTGATGATGCCTGGTGGGGGTGTGAGTATGTTTGCAGCCCCCCAGGCCTGGGAGTGAGGGCAGCTCCGAGGAAGGGGAGTGTTCTGTGTCTACCTTGGCTGCCCCTGCTCTGATCTTGATTCTAGAAGTAGAAGGAGGTAGACTTTTTCCTGTGGTGCTGGCAGTTGCCTGATTAGTTCTTACCTCTCTTCCTCCTTCCCTTCCTATTTAAATAAGCATTTACTCAGCACAACTGTCATTCTTTTTAGCAGAATCTCTGTTACCTGAGCTCTTATCCTAGGCTTGAAGAGTTCCCAGTCAGAACACCAGGGTAAACCAGTGTCTGAATTCCATGTTGGCATCGTGAGGGGCTATATGGTTAGCTTTTCCCACCATCCCCCCACCAGAGACCCAGGAAATCCTGAGTCAGGAGAGATGGGGGAAGCTTCTTTGCTGATGCACCCCAGAAGCGGATTCTCTGCGAGTCTCACCTGTCCCTCCCCATCCATGTGTCTGTAACACCTGAGCTATTTGTCCAGGAGGACCTGGGAATCATGGCTTCTTTGTTCCTCCCAGAGCAGACTTGGCCTTTCCTGTCCCCGCATACTGCTGTGTGAGTCCCCAGGCCGCAGGCTGCATGGGGCCCTGCCTTGCCGGCAGGGAGGAGGAAAGGAGGGCATCCATGCTGCTTACCACTTTATGTTCCCAGCTGAGGGGGAAGCAAACAGGCTCAGTCCCAGGTCTGTCCTCCAGGATCGCCTGCAGCTTCAGGGGTGTGACAAGGGGTATTTGTGGCCAGTGGCAATAGAAAGTTGATTTTTCTTACAAAATACTCCCTGGCCCACACTTTTTTCATTCCAGACTGTGGAGTAAAATGAGCTTTCTGGATGAGGACTGTAAACCCCAGAGACAGGCGGTACCGGTCCGGACAGACAGCATGAAAAGACAAAATGGTAGAATCGCTCTAAGTTTGGGTATCGGTGATCAGCACGCAGGTGCTGTCGAGCTTGGCCTGATTTGCTAGATACATTCCAGAGTTTGGAAAGGTGACAGATTCTGTTCCAGCCAGCCTCCCCGGAACCCACCGAGACACGTCGATGTCTCCTGGCTCGCTGATGCCGGTAATGCCGCGTAATGAGAAGAAAAGCTCCTAATTCAGGAGGGTTTAACGCCTCCCAGCCACACAGATCCATTGTCCAAAATGTTCCCTAAAAATCAGCACCCCTGAGGGTTAACTTCTCTGTGAAGAAGAAAATGCCTTCTGAGAATGGATCGTTTTAGAAGAAGCTTTTTTGTTCTTAGCATCGTAAAGTGATGTCTGTCCTTAAAACCCTCACCTCTTGAGTCCTCCTGGTCACCCTTTCCCTTCAGTTCTGTGGGGTCAACCCAGTCAGAACCTTCCCTGTTCCCTCAATCGATTCCCTGTGTCCAAGCTCTGTTCACGTCCAGTCTGAAATGAGGTAGAGCTAAAGGTGGTGGCATGATGTGTGTTAACAGTGCGGCAAGTGTCTTCAGAGCCCCGGAGCCCCTCCCCCAGGCTGCTTACCTGCTTCTCACATCATGCACAAACAACTTTCCCCAGACCTGAGTGCGGGCAGGTACGCTCAGAGAAGAGAGGCCAGGAGCTGCCCCACAGCCATTCAGGAGAAGGTGCTAGAGTCCTGGCCCCATCCATGGGGCTCGAGGAAGCGCGAAGGGGAAGGTGATGTCTGCTTCGTGACGTGCCTTCCAAGCCTCCCCCTTGTCCTTTTCCATCCTGCCTGAGTAAGAGAAGAGCGTTGGAAGGCAAAGTGTCTATTTTCTGGCTTTCTGCACTGCAAGTGCATTTTTGTGGCGGGGGCGGGTTGGAAAGAGTATCTTGTTTACTTTACACAGTAATACGAGAGATACTTAGTATATAATAGATGTCTATTTATGGTTACGCAAGTCAGGCAAACAGGCACTTTCATCCGAGACAGCACAGGAAAGTTCAGGTACATCCCACACATCCGTCTGCCCTCCTTCTCCTGAGCTCTGCCAGGGTCATCCTTCCGACCTGCTTTCTTCTCACCTCACTGATACGGGGACATCCTAAGTCACAGTGGTACCCACACTGGGCATGTGCAGCTCCCATGGAGACCAGGAGCTGTTTGCTGTGCCATTAAAAATGTATCAGAAACCCTCTTTTGGTGAGATAATAGGTTTTTATTTAAATGTTTAATTGGCAGTACATTATTTCAAAGCTCCAGTGATGCAAAGGAATGCTTAATAAAAAGCTTCCTTTCCAGTGTGTGCACCCACTGTGGAGGCCTCCACTCCCACCCCCTGGTGCCCGCATAGTTCCCCTTTTCTAGGTGTCTTCAAGGTCACTGCTAATGCTTCTCTATGTAAAAACAAACACAACTTGGGGCGCCTGGGTGGCTCAGTGGGTTAAGCCTCTGCCTTCGGCTCAGGTCATGGTCTCAGGGTCCTGGGATCGAGCCCCGCGTCGGGCTCTCTGCTCGGCAGGGAGCCTGCTTCCTCCCTCTCTCTCTGCCTGCCTCTCTGCCTACTTGTGATCTTTGTCTGTCAAGTGAATAAATAAAATCTTTAAAAAAAACAAAAACAAAAACAAAAAAAAAACACAACTTGATAGTCTTAACTCTCCGTGTTGGCGCCCCAGGCAGCGTGTTAGACTTGCTGTCTGCACCCTGCTTAGGCTCTTACTTGATCTGTCCTGGAGATCTCATTATAGCACACGGAAAGCTGTTTTGTTCTTCAAATCACATTTAAAATTTTTTCCTAAAGCAATTGATTCAAAAGATACACTTTTTTAATCTTAATGGAAATAGAGCAAATGAAAATTCAGCTTCTTTCTCCGCATTCCCACTCCTACTGCATTAGCAATGATGGCCTCTGTTGGTTTTCTTATGTATTTCTCCAGAACTATAATTATGCTTGTATCCTCATGGGTGTGCATGTGTAACTCTCTTTTTTTTTTTTTTTTTTAAATCTGGCCATCTCATACAGACATGTTATAATTTCCTGAATCATTTCTCTATAGTTGGACCTTTAGATTGTTCAAAAAGATCTTTTTCAACGTGTCTGAGCCATGGAAAGAGGAATGGTTTTTGTAAATCCTGGTCCGTGTCTTGGATTATTTTGTGTCGGATAGATCCTGGGAGTGAGCTGTCTGGGCCAGAGCATGTTGATGTAGGGACTGTGGACGCGGCCTCACGGCTTCCCTGGTAGATGAAACCGCCTCTCGCGCCAGCCGTCCACGGGAAAAATGACGCTCACCCTCACAGCAGAGCCACACTCAGCCCCAGCCCAGTTTTTTTTTTTTTTTTTTTTAATCTGTGCCTGTTTTTTTTTTTTTTTAAACTGAGCTTTTCTCAGGCTGGCAGTAGGCAGGTTTTATCCTTCCTGGGTTTGGAGGAATCGCTCAATAGGGGCTCGCTAGCAAAAGCTGCTCTTGGATCCCATTGTAACTGCTTAGCTCCACACATGAGGGGCTCGGGTGGGGTGCTTCTCGCTCCGGGCTGCTGTATGTGGGGTGAGAGATACCCCTTGGGCTGATGGGACAGATTCTCTGTTGGTGTCAAAGGTAACAGAATGCCCTGCTTTTCTCAGTAATTGCCAGGTAATTTGTACAGTGCGCAGTTCCTGAGAGCGTCCCACCTGCCAGGCTCTGTTGTGCATAATCTATAGGTGGCATGTTTTATGTTCAGAACGATCCTATGACGTGTAGGACTGTCCTGCCTGTTTTCCACGTGAGGACAGTGTGGCACAGAGCGGGCAGGTGTTGTCTCCTGGCCACAGGGCCGGAAACAGCTGGAGCGGGGGTTGACCCTGAGCGGTGTGCCCCCTGAGCACAGCCTCCATGACAATGGCCTTCTCCTGCCTCAGAAGGGGGTTACCTTCTGTGTCTCCAGCCCCCTGGGAAGGGTTCAGGTTTTACCACCTTCTACCTTATAGCTGGTTTTCCCTGCCTTTGCTGAGGGTTTGGAGCAGAAGACCCTTTGAAGTTGGACAGACCTGAACTCAGATCCGCTTCCTGCAGGTGTGGCCTTGGGCAAGGTCTCAGCCTCCCTGAGCCTGTTCCTCATCTGTGAAGTGTGTTTGTGTGTTGGGGGGTTGGGGCCCTGTCCCTCCCTGAAATTGTTAGGAAAACGGATGAACATGGCAGGTAACACGGAAGCTCTGACAGGTGTGGAGTGACGTGCGTGCTCTTGCCCTCGAGAGTCCCCAGCCTCCCTTTGGTCCTCCCAATTCCCATCGCCATCCTTCCAGTTGATGAGAAGCTCCATCCCGGGATGTGACTGTAGTGTCACCATTTCTGGAGCAGCCACTAGTGCTGAGCATTTGGCGATCTGCCTGACGTCGTGCCTGCCATCCGGCCAGACGGTGCCTCGTCTTTCACCCAACCCCGCTCCCGTGGGGCCCGTCTGAGTCAGCAGCCACAGCTGTGTGCTGCCTTAAATTGCTCCTGCATCACGGGCGGCAAGGGGAGAGCCGTCTGGAGCCGACATTGGCCTTTCGTGTTGACGTCCTAGGTGTGTCTGTGTGTGCGATGTTCATCATGGTGACAGTGGATATTTTTTCCACTGCTCATTTGATCTCTCGCATCTCAGATCCTAATCAGGCCTTTAGAGCTCCAGAATTACATGCTTCTGCAGGCCTACTATTATCTCAATAGGATTAGCGGTCCTCTCTCTGTGAAGAGAATGGGGATCCCTCACTGTGCCATGTTTCCATTACCAGAACACCGTCTCTAACCATCCTTCCACAAAATCACTTGTGCTTTCCCAGTGACTGCGTTTTCACCTCGGTCTGAACAGGAAATGTTCAGGGAGCACTGAGAGGCCGAGTTCTTGCGTGATGGTGCAAAACCACGATAACCAAGATGCGTTTTTCTCTCTCCCTTCCCCCTCTCCTGATGGCAGGTTCCCGGAGATTTGAGTCAAACGTCCGAAGACCAGAGTTTGTCGGATTTTGAAATGTAAGTCCACGGCATCTGCTCACCAGGGGCCTTTAGAAATAGGACTCTGTTGTTTGGCTTGTGTCCCAGAAGACCACAGGGGGATACTAAAATCACTGTTGCAGGGTACACAGGCTGATTTGATATCTTAGAGGTGAGAGGTTGTTCGCCTGCAGACCGAGTCTGGCCTTCAGATGTGTCTTACTTCTGTTGCTGGGTATTGGAAAACAATTAATTTTTTGGGTCAACATTTAGGATTTGGAAGCTATCATATAACATGTACATTTCACTTAAAAAAAAAAAAAAAAGTCTCTGCTCCTTAGCAGGCCACAGTGGGAGCTGAGTTGTGGCTGAGTCCCTCACACAGGGACACACTGTGCTGGGGAATTGGAGTTTACAACCCCTGAGTTACTGGAAATAGCAGTGGTTCGGGGCATGGGTCTGATCTGTTACTGGATGTGATTCTGTCTGGTGTGTTTGACGGTAAACTCCTGAAGTACTCAGTTGGTCTTCAGATGGGGTTACCTTGGGGTTTGGACAGGTAGTTCCCTTGGATTGATAAAGCCAGCCAAGCGGGTCCCAGGTTAGGGCCCAACAGAGCCTCCCTCTGCTGTCACTCAGTTGTCCCGAGCAGAAGGTGGCCCAGCCTGAGAGAAGGTGTCATCTGGGCTAAATCTGCCTTTGGAGGGCTAGGGGCAGGCCTCGGAGCATTGACCAGAGCCAGGCTGACCTTCCCTGTGAGGCAGAAGGCTCACCATTACAGCAAAACCCACCAGGCACTTCCTGTGGGGAGGGGTCATGCCAGGTCCCTGATGGAAGACATGAGCAAGCCACAGCCACAGCCCCTGCCCTCAAGCAGCCACTGCCTGGTCCGGCTCCATCATCTCTCTCCCGGAGATTCGCAGCCCCCTCCCTTGGGTTTGTACATCTCCACTAAAGCCAGAGGCAAGCGCCATTTTCCTCTCTCAAGATGGAGGCCAAAGTCCCTCATGTAGTTTGCACAGAGGCCACTGTGACTCCTCTGACTCATCCTGTCTTCCCTGCTCAGGATTGTTCCTCCCAGATCAGGTCCTCTGTGCCGGGCATTGTTCTCACCCACCAAATCCCCTTGACAACCCCGCGACATGGGTGTTGTCCTCCATATGACACATGGAAGCCAGGATTCCAACCGATGCAGACTTGATCTGGGCTGTGCCCTTCACACACGTCAACCCCCCTGCCCGAAGCACCTGAAACCAAGAGTCAGACATTTAACCAACTGTGCCCTCCAGTGCCCCCATCATGGAAACAATGCTCTGAAAGGGAGAGATGCCTAAGGCAGCCCAGGGTGTCTCGCCCTTGCCAGTCAGGAAGGTTAACGAAAAGCAGATTGTTTGGTACATTTTTGCACTGTACCCACCCCCTTAACAGAAATGTAATGGGAGCACTTAGGCCCTGGTACAATCTGGGGGACCTTTCCAGGAGGAAAGCCATTACAGGTACAAGCCAACTTGATGGCTCAGAATTGCAGTTTTTACTTGGAGCTCTGAGGAAGTGATGAATTATTTTGTCCCCTGAAGGAGGTCTGCACCTCGTCTCAGAGCTTAGAAGGAAATGCTGCTTCAGGGGAGAATCATTTCTTTGTGAAACTAAACTGCTCCCCACTGTAGAGATGGGGAGGCCACTGAGTCACGGAATCTTCCACCATCTCAAATTGTCTTCTAAGCACAGGAGGCTGGCGCGTGGCTCTGAGCTGCTCTTGAGAGGGGAGGAGAGTTCAGGAAAAAGCATTTAGCCTGGAATGACTCTAAGTAGAGGCCGGGACTGGAACCTCCCAGCCCTCCCAGAATTGTGCAGTACCGTTTTGATGATCGCCAGGGCTGATTTTCAAGCATTAGCAAAAGTCGGTGCATCTGTCCTCGAGCCTTGGATTCCGCTGGGAACATGAGCGGTGGTGGGTGTGTGGACCCAGAGACTCACAATTGGGTGAAAGTCATCTCATAAGACAAAACTCGCAGAACTGACAGAACCAAAGTGACCCTTGAAGACCCCTTAAATATCCTGTGAGGACTAACGAGGTTACTGTGGGTAAAAGCGTGGAATCCTACATTGTAGGTTCTCAGTAAATGATTTGCACTTGAATTTAAGTCTTGGCTTACTGGAGCCGTACACAGTGTTTCTGGAAAGTTGCAAGAGGGGTGTTTGTGCCCGCCCTCTGGGTTTCTCCTTCCCCACCCCGAATAGCTGTTGCTTACCTAGTCGTGGACGTCCGCCTCCTGAGCCTTTTTGCGAGCCTGATCTTAAAAATGGGTGCCAGGGTCTAGATCGAGCACAGGGAGGAGGGGGTGCGACTCCTCTGGGGGTCATCAGCGCATGTGACCCTCATAGCCGCCTGGGGGCTTCCGATTATCAGCCCCTTTTTCAGATGAGGAAATGGGTTTAGGTAAATTCTGAGTCACGGTGACTCAGTTGTAAGAATGGAAGGGCAGCCCTTGCTCATTTGGAGGTTCAGACTGTGAATGTAAAGAACACGCACGCGCGCACACCGCGCACGCGCGCACACACAGAGTCCCCGCAGAACAGGGCTGGGGGCTGGGTGCGCATGCTCACACTGGTCCCACGGACTCCTGTGCGCACTGGCGGTTGTCATCAGTAGCTTGTGGGTAATGCCTCTTAGAGAAGATGGTTTCCTCTCACTTTCTCGGCAAATTAAAATGACAGCTTTGGATCTTTCCTTTGGGCAGATCAACGCGGGCACTGATCAACGTGTGGATCCCGTCGGTGTTTCTCCGGGGCAAAGCGGCGAACGCCTTCCACGTGTATCAGGTGAGTCCCCGGTTTTCGGGTGGGTGTCCCCGCTCTGGCGGGATGGACAGCTGTTTGTGGCGCTGTGGCGCGACTGCCTGTCAGTGGCGGAGCGCTGTCCTCAGGCGGCATTCCGGCCGCCCTGGCTCCCTGAGGAAGTGGTCCTTCCCTTGTCCATACAGGAGGGACTCGGTGCGGCTCCTTCCGGCCGGTCAGGCCTCTTGGTGTGGCCTCTGCAGATCTGAGCTCAGACTGCTGGACCCGAGATGGGGTCTGTCGACTTGTGTTGCAACCACGGGGTCCAGGTATCGGTGCGGCCTCAGGCATGCTAGAACCTGTGGCCGGACATTTGCCACCTGGATTCCCTGCTCAGGTGTCCTCTTGGAGCTGGCGCTCTCTGCAGCTTGATGGATGGCACTCTGCCTATCTGGGAGGTTTCAGCATCTCTCCAAGAAAAAAAAAACAAACAAACAGTGAGCTTGAAAAGGAGTCCCGGTTTCCATTTTGTAACCTTAAGTGAATCTCTGTTTCCTCATCTGTAGGTCGGAGACAGTCCTTCCACTTAGCTTGCAAAGCTCTTGTCAGGTTGAGGGACGTCTGGCACCCTATGTAACCTCCGTGTTCTCGTCTTGATGCTTCTCAGTTCCCAAATGCTCGGCCTGTGTGGTCTTCGGGGGCAGGCCTGTTGGCGGGGGTGTGATTTATAGGCACAGGCACCAGCCTGACACATGCATCTCAGCACCTCACAGACCGATGCGCTGGGGTAGGGCAAGGCAGCTCGCGCCAGAGTGACCTTAGTTTACGTGTTGGTCTGGGCAACGGCAGTTAGCAAGTAGCAGGGTCGTGAGTGTTGGAGAATCTGAGTGTTCGTGATGCTCTCAGCTCGGGCTTGGAAAGAGAATTAGACATGACGGACTTCCGTGTGTCCCCTTTGTTGTCTTTCTTCTCGAATGCCAAACCAACCAAAAATCTCTTCTCTGAGTTCTCACTTCGAGTTCTGCTTTGTGGTCATCAGAAAGCTGGGAGGTGTTGCCTGGAGGCTGGAAGGGGTGAAGCCAACAGCTTTGTTTCGGAGTAAAATTAAAATGTGATCTCGGGGCGCCTGGGTGGCTCGGTGGTTAAAGCCTCTGCCTTAGGCTCAGGTCATGATCTCAGGGTCCTGGGATCAAGTCCTGCATTGGGCTCTCTGCTCAGCAGGGAGCCTGCCTCCTCTTCCTGTCTCTCTCTGCCTGCTTCCCTGCCTACTTGTGATCTGTCAAATAAATTTAAAAAAATCTTAAAAAAAAAATGTGATCTCACTTGAGAGGTCTCTTTGACCTTTCATGTCTGACTCTCCCCACCCCCATCCTGCCCCTAGCCCAGGATGGGGTCTGGCAGGTTGTAGCGTCTAGAAGTCAGTTATGAAATGAGATGGACACAGCCCATGTGCCGTTGCCTGGGAGATGGTTGCCACGGTGGTCACGGTGGCATCTGTGCCCCTCTGCCCCTGTCCTTCATGGCTTCGGAGCTTTCCTGGGTGCAGTCCAAGAGTCGCCTGCATCAGCCAGAGAGCCACTTTGTCTCACACAGCAGGCTCTCCGAAATCTTTCCCGATGTTACCTCTGGAATGCCACTGTTTCTCCTCTTCGCTAACGGTGCTTCTGGTTGGTCCCTTAAGAGCAAAACCCGAGCTTGTGTTTGGAAACATTGGAGAAAGCTTTTGGTTTGCGGTGTTTTTGTTTTTTGTTTTTTAAGATTTTATTTATTTATTTGACAGAGAGAGAGATCCCAAGTAGGCAGACAGGCAGGCAGAGAGAGAGGGGGAAGCAGACTCCCCACAGAACAGAGAGCCCAATGCGCGGCTCGATCCCAGGACCCTGAGGTCATGACCTGAGCTGAAAGCAGAGGCTTAACCCACTGAGCCACCCAGGGGCCCCTGCGGAGTTTTTATCATAAGCGATATTGGATAGAAGGTGACTCATTTAAAATGAGAGTACCATTGGACATTATTTTTCTTAGTTTAAAAAAGTGTATTCTGTATATCTCTCCTAAAGATTTGAGATAATTTTCAGAGACATTCCTGTAAAAGAATGATAAAATAGAAGTAAAAAGTGGAATAACGGGGTTCAGGAAAATGCGAACTAGGAGAACATGAATTAAGGAAACTGAAAATCGCACATGTCTGTCATGAGCCCCTATGTGATTATTCTCATAGGCTGGTGAATTTACTGTGGGCTTCCTGGCAGTCTGTGTGAAGATGGAAAGGTGGCTCTTTTGGATAATACCATGGCTAATGAGAAGAAAGTAAGTCAGTTCCTCAAAGGGAGCTCTGAGAGAACCTTGTGCTTCAGATTAAGCAATACTGAAGGATGTAGGAGACAGTCCCCCATTACATCTGTGTGAAAAATCGCTGTCACACTTCATCAGATCCCCCTCACAGGGGCCAAGGGCATAACCTACAAAAGGAAGCAGTTCATTTGATGAGCCAAGAGGAAAGGCTCCTCCGCATGTGTGGTTCCCTCAGTAGATCTGGGCTTTCCAGTACAACAGCCACGGACTACGTGTAGGCATTTAAATTTACGTGAACTAAAATATAATAACATGAAAAAGGCAGTTCCTCACGTCTGCTGGTCACATTTGAGTGCTCAACAGCCACACGCGGCTCGAGGCCACTGTGCAGGGCAGCACAGACACGGGATATTTCTATCACTGCAGAAAGTTCTCTGGGGCGCTGGGGGGCTAGAACAGTGTCTCTGGCCCGAGCGTAGGGAGGCAGGCTACGTCGATGTGTGCTTGGTCAGGCTTTAGAAAGACAGAGGCTGGACATGAGCTACCAAATTCTGCAGGGAGGAAGCCACTTCCTTTTCAGCTCTTTCCAGGCTTGGGGTTCCTGGGCGGGGTGGGAGTGTGGCCCCCATGCCACCCGCTCTCTTCAGTCTTGCTGTTGAGCAGAGACCGGAAGGCCCCAGAGGAGAGCCTTGGCAGGAGCAGACTTGAGCCTGATCGTACACGTTGTTTTGTTTTTACTGTGTTTATTTATACATTTGCCTTCTAGTTATGGCACAGAATCCTGTTTTCCACCCACTATGGTGATGCATGCAATTTTAAAATAAAGTTAAGAAGAAACAAAGCGAGTCTGGTTTAAAAGAAAAAACAAAAACCAAAGCAACACTATAAATGATTATGCAAGCAGCAAGGGTTCGGGGCAGCGCTATGTGACCAGTCGTGTTTAGGAAACGTGAAGCGGAGGGAACGGACAGCGTACGGTAGCTCACGAATGGTGACAGTCCCCCCAGGAAGCCACAGCGGCCGCTGCCTCTGGCTGGTCTGTGTGCGTTCTGTCCAGGAGCTCACTGAGCCCTCACACTCGCCCCGTGCACAAACGCTTCTGACCACCATCTTATCAAGGAGACAGTGAGGCACGGAGAAGCATCTCCCTCCGTAACACGTTTTTCGCCCAAGTAGCATTTTCTCCAAAAAGGTCCCAGTTGGCAGAGGTTCTGAGAACGAGGGTGGAGCTCTTCAAAAATCCAAGAGGCGAGGGGACAGGTAGCATCATGCTGGAGAGCCCATCCTGAGGTTTGGAGCAGGAGCTTATGGGTGCCAGTGAGCTAAGCTAGCTCCCCGCGGCGGGTGGCACCGGGGCTGTGTGGGAAGGGGTCAGGAGTTGTGTTTTGCACAAGGGTTTCTGGGGGAGAGGTGCCATCCTCGGACAGGGTTGAATGCAAGATCTTAAAAAACGGTTTGTGCCTTCGAGTGCTGTGCTTTCCACACTTGGTCCCCACGTCCGAGATGGGGGCCAGGCACGTTCAGGCACTTGGAGGAAATGGCAGTACTTGAACAATTCTCAGAACACCAGTAAAATCCATGTCCAGAACTTTCATCCATGAATATTTCTGACACTTCCGGCCCCGGCTAACGCTTGGCTGCCAGCGGACACTAGCCAGGGACGAAACGACTGAACAGCAGCAAATAAAATGGCAGAAACCGCTTACTCACTGGTCTTGCTAGGTCTTTGTCTTTCTCGCTGTGTTAACACCGCGTTGTGCTTGTGAGCCCCGTTTCCCGTCACTTCTGTGTGGTAGTTACGTTGATTGTTAATCAGTTCCTGGTTTATACCTTTGCGATTATTTGATCTTATTCCCCAAATGGCCTGACCTCCAAACAAGATTGAGGTCCACTGTCTTTAATATTCTGCTGTTGTGTTTACAAAGGGAGGTTAGGCCTTTAAAAAAAAGGAGAAGAAGAACCTGCCTATTTTTCTCCTAAGCAAATATTACAGCCACTAAACCAGTAGGAAATAATCCAGCGGTACCCTTCCTTTCTGAACCCTCAAGTCTTCGCCTTGGAAAAGAACTGTGAGCTCTAGGTACAGCCGAAACCGGTCCTCTACGTGGGACTCATTTCAGCCTTTGAGCTTAACCACCAGCAGCACTGGCTACTGGGCAATGTTCCGTCGGCGCCGCCCGGCTAATTAGGTCTCCTTTGTATTAAAAAGGAATGTCGCTTTGTTTCAGCAAAGCTCTTCCCTTCTTGCCTACGTCCCCTTTCCCGGAGACCCCAGGGTGTCCCTTGGCTCAAAGGAATGGCAGTGCCCGGGGAACTCCCATCCACAAGGAAACCGTGTCCCCTGGGCAGCCATTCGGAAGGTTTCTTCCCGCGGAGCGTGGTTTTCACACGTGACGTGGGGAATCCGTTGTTTGTCCTGTTAATACTAGATCACGGGGCCTGGGAGGGCTGCGGAGGCCGCAGGTGGCGGGGAGGAGGGCGACATGGTGGCTCTCGAGGCGCCGGGCTTCTCAGCCGTTCCTTTTCATCCTCTTCCCCCAGAGGCTTCGCCCGCGGGTCCTCAGGTTCCATGCCTGCGGCTCTGTGCTTAGGCTCCCTCCGCGTGCAGCGGTGCAGACGGGGGTTCGGTAAGCAGAGGAGGGTGAAGCCGAAACCGGACCCCCAGCCGCAGCGTCGTGGGCTCTGCGGAGCCCCTGCCGTAGCAGCACCGTTCCGGGACCGGGGAGACGGGGATGGGTCCCAAGGTGGACACG